CTCTCTCTCTCTCTCTCTCTCTCTGTCTCTCTCTCTCTCTCTCTCTGTCTCTCTCTCTCTCTCTCTCTCTCTCTCTTTCTGTTCAATCTGGGATTCACTCTGGAGGCGTTACCAGGGAAACCTTGTATCTGGCTCTCAGCTTGATGGATTTATTGAACTCTAACTGGTTGGGATAATTACGCTCTGTCTTGCAGGTTGGCCGTCCAGTGGCTGGGACTTAAAAGTGACCTATAGTTGGCCTCACATTGTTACTGCCCGCCCCGGGCTTTTAACCCCTCAGCCGCCACACGGTTGGACTTTGCCACCTGTAATCAAGGCTCACAGTCTTTTCCTTTAGCGTGTCTCAAAGCCGCGTTATGATTTTTCATTGACTATAAAACAGAATATGGATAAACATATCGTCCGACATCATCAAAACAGTTGGACATGATGAAAGTCTGTGGCAACAAATACATTCCAGTTCAGAAACATCACTGTAACAGACTTACACCATGGCACAAGCCACAATTCTGTAAACGTCTGTAAAAACAAGCCTTGATAATATGTTTCCCCAGCAGAGCGACTAAAAGTAGGACTGAGCTCAACTCTGGTATCGTTACATCTACGGTTTCCTTCTTACAAAACGCAGTTTCTGGTTTCACATCTGGACGCAGCGTTGGACTGTGTTTAAGTCGAAATTATTCACTGAGGTTCTCCTGACTTTGCTGAGTTATTCATCGCGGTGCCAGAAAGTTTTCTCCAAAGGTCACACACCAAATTTATTCCAGCGAGAACTGGAAGAGCTCCTAAATCTTTTCACAGAGTGAAACCCGCTTGTTGTTGATGTAACCAAATATCATGTTATTAGCGGTTTGGCGTCAGACTGAGGCTCCTATCTGTACCTGTTTTTACCATTTATTTTTGTCCTTTATTCCCCCAAAATACTTCTGCACCAGTCGCTGGAGATAACATCTGCATGACAGATTTAAAAATAAATAATAATAACTCAAGTCGAACAAAAGCAAGATTGTCACAATAAATTTGTGGCTTGTTTTTAACCTTGTGAAAAACTGACCTCTAAGCTAGGCTTTTAAATCCACATTTATATTCAGATACACTCTAAATTGAGCTGTAGCTGCCACTAAATAGCAACTTGTGCTGTGTATGTTTTCGTGATGTTATTAGTAGTTATCATATTTACTTGTTGCAACAGGATTTTTTTCCTTTTCTCTCTTTCCGCCAGCGTAGGAGCAGACTTCAGCTTGTCGTATTCTCTTTCTCCCTAATCTTATCTGATTAATTTCCTCATATTGTTCTCCCCTCTTTTCCACTTCCTTGCAGCCTCTGGAAGTAAAATTTCAAAAAACCTCATTTTTTCTCGCTGTGAACATTGTTTACGCAGGCCGAGGGATAAAAAAATCAGTTTTTCTGGATATTGTTGGTGTTGGCAGGACCTGTATTTTTAGATTTTATCACTTTCATCCTCAGTTGTTTAGAATTCTCCAGAATCCCACAGAACTGGTTTGTCCCTTCATTCCAAACGTGTGTGTAATAAAGAAGATAAAAAGAATATATATATATATATTCACAATGTTCCAGACCATTCCCAGTGCAAGTAGAACATAAATATGAAATAATTCACTGCATTGTTGCTAAATTTCTGTCCCTGCTCTCTTCCGTCCAGGCCTTCAGGCGATAGTCCGTCTCTCTCGGTGCTCAGAGGGAAGCCGGATCATAGCGACACACCACCAGCCTCTGGCTGCACTTCCATTGCAAACATGTGCAAAACTTTGTCAATATTCTGCTAATATATGAAAAAAAAGATCAACGTCCATTTGTTGATCATGTAAATCATTTCTGACACGGCCAATAAAACAAACAAAAAAATCCTCATTCTCCCCCCTGGCAAAACCTTTTATTGAAAAAACAATTTTTTTCAAAATTGCCCTGTTCCCATCAGGCAGATTTCTTTTCCAGACGTCAAATTGCGCATTTCCACGGTTTATGGAAGCGCAGCTGCTAACTTCCTGCTCTTCAGTGCCGTTCCTGTCCTCTGCGTCGTGGGCCGACAGAAGCAGAGGACAGTGGCGGCTTTGCGCGACTGTCCTGCTTTGCTTGTGTCGTTGCATCAGACTCAGTAAAAGAGAGTCGCACTGCGCTGACACGCGCTCTGCGTGAGACGATTAGCCTGGAGTCGTTTGAAAGCGACTCGGCTCTGCCCAGGTGTCCGGCGCTCGCAGAGAGAGACCAGACGACCTTTCCCTCCGCTCCGTCCCTCTGCAGTCACTTAAAACAGTGATGGATGTCCCTCCCTGTGCCCGTCCCACCACCCTCCACCTTGCTTCAGTAACACTCTCACCTTATTTGTCCGCCATTCGTTGCCTTTAATACCCCACCTTCTCCTCATCTTCTCTGTTCCTGCATGGTGATGAGAGGGAAGCGGTAGAAGGAAACGAGGAGGTGGGGTTTAATCCGAGCGCTGGACCCCTTTTCCTACCTGTCAGAGAAGGGAGCGTCAGATCCCCCCCACCCCCCTCCTACCTCCCGCTCCTCATTAGTATGCAGTGGGTGTCGCTCAGGTGACATGGCTGCTGGATCCGGTCTCGACTGCAGGAACAGCAGCAGCATGGAGGAAACAAGGACAACAGGTAAGGACAATGAGAGCAGGAGGGGGAAACAAAGAGGAGGAGAGCCAGAGACGGACTTCCTCTCTGGAACGCTGTGGACCAGCTGAGCGGTTGGGAATCGTTCCTGAAACTGAAGCGTTCAGCCTGGATGGAAAATCTTCTCAAATCAAACTGACGACTTCAGCTCTTTCACCAGAGACTCTCTCAGTAGTGGAGGTGTCAGGAAAAACAAAGTCAACCGCAGTGTCCTGTTCTCCATGTTGTACGCAGTGATTTCTAATAAACATCTCCGAACCAACACGCTGGGGGTGTGTGTGTGTGTGTGTGTGTGCGTGTTTGGTCTTTTCCACGCGTCGTGTTTAACTCCATGCAAGCAAACAAAAGAAGGAATTCTGCACTTCTCTCTCCAAACGTTTTCATTGTTTTCACATGGAAGATTTTCATTCCCCTGATATCTGGGATATGAGTTTTGTTGCCAAAGGCAACAGTGACAGGGGCGTATAAGACAAATATTCATACTGAGTGTGTTGGAGGAAAAGAAAAGATGAGAAAAGGAAAAGAGAGAGAGGAGAGCCTGTATGAGAAGGTGTGTGTTTATTTGCTTTCCATCTATATATGTGTCTGTGCGTGCGCATGCGTGTGTGTGTGCGCATGCGTGTGTGTGTGTGTGTGTGTCTGTGTGTGTGTGCGTTAGGGGAGCAGTGCAGCCAGGCTGCAGATATCATCCATCTCCCTGTCACCGGCCCAGGGGCTGCTGGGAAAGCGGCAGACAGCTCCCCGGCTCCGACAACGAAGGCTGCATCCTAATTTCTCTCCGCAGCAGAAGGCTGGAGAACCCTGCGCCTCGCCTCCCTCGCCACCCAGTACGGAAACCCATTAACCCCGCGATCTGGCAACAAAGCGCAGCGCCGAGGCCCGCTGCAGCCAGAGCGTCCTATCAGCGTCCGGGAAACGGCAGCAGAAGTGAAGGGCATCTCTTCAGGAATCGCTTCTGATCAGAAGGTGGTTCTACTGAGTCATACTTGTGCGAGCGCAGAGATTCACTTTTTCACAATGAAGCCCTCCTGGAGCATCACTAAGTGGATTACATGGCTTGTTGTTAGCCATGACAAATTCTATTGGAACGCTGCGACCACACATTCCAGTTGTTTTTATTTTATTTAAATCCTTTATATCCCACTTTTAATAACCACTCATTTGTTAGTGAAAAACAAAAGGTTTTTAATGGTAATAACAGGTAATTATATGTGAATGAATTCATTATTTAGTTAGTTCCTTTTTATTTATTATTCCAGTTATTGCATACACTAAACTAACGTCCACATTTTCAGGGCTAACTTCCTCTTCACACAAACATCACAAACAGATGTTAACGTGCAGCCTGGACGTGGACGGAGGAATTCTTAAGTTTGCGATCAAAGACATGCAGAGGCTTTGCTTTGAAAAATCAGAAATTGGGATCCAATCAGGTTCCGATTTACCTTAAATGTACCAGATTTTGTAAACATGTCAGATTTGGTCAGCAGCAGCAGATTTTAAATAAAGATATTTCACAGCAAAAAACAAAACAAAAAAAAAACTGTTTTTTTTAATCCAGTTTCTAGTGCAAGTGCACTTGAAATTATACAAGACTGGCTTGCAAGTTTTCAGCAAAATACAGGAGCTTCCTAAAAGCAAATAATTCCTTAATTTTTGATTAAAAAGTGTCGGCTGCATTTGGCAGATCATTTCCCGTGTGGCAAGACATTTTTCAGTGGGGCTCCATAATTCCTTAACTGATTTTAAAGAATTACGTAACTTAAAATAAGCTCATATATCTTGCTGAAAATGTATTTGTGAGTTAGTTTTATTTTATTCCAAGTGCACTAAGATATTTGCACTAGAAACTGGACTAAAAATGCTTTGTGTGTGTGTTTTGACTGTGTTGTTCCACATATTTTCTTAAAACACAAATTGAGAAAAAAAATAAAAATTATAATTAGTGTAATGAGATGTACAGTCCAAGTATCATTTTCTTCCCCTTTTTATAGTTACATTAAGTCAATTAGACTCTTGATAATAAAAAAATAAATTGTGTTCACTGCCTGATAGTTTCTGCTATTTTCTCAGACTCTCGAGTCCAGCTGATGATAAAAGCGACTTGTGTTTAGTCACGTGATCCATCCATCTCCAATTAACTAAACCAAAAACAACTGCATGACCTCAGGCTCCTGATACAAAGAAGAAGAAGAAGAAGAAAGCCACAGCGGCGGCGCGCGCGGCTCTCTGGGTTCGTCATTTGCGGTTTACGTTTCTGTGTTTGACTCGCTGTAAAACATGAACTCCTGAACCGAACCGAACCGAGAGAAACACAAGCTGGCCGCTGGAGCCTCACTGATTTTACACCGAGCCAGTCACAGTGAACTTCATATTCAAAACAAAACAAACAAACAAAAACAAACTTGTTAGTACACAGCAACAAAAAAAATAAATAAATAAAAATCTTACCAGGTATTTTGGGTCGAGTTTCTGGACAGTAAAATGGGAAACAATATCCAACATAGAGAGCGTTCACTTCCAGCGGCATTCTGGGAGATGTAGGCGGAGGGACGCTTTACCTGCTCTGTCTCCAGGTGAGTGGCGTCAGCTACGAACTACTAACTCGCGCGCTCTTCGGTTGCCTAGCAACAACCTGTCCACTCAACCTGCGCAGCTTCAGGTTTGGCGACTCGTTTCTGATTTTGGTCATTAAGTCCTTACAAATAGTGTAGAGTGAAAACTGGACACAGTAAGACATGACATGGCACCAAAAATAAACCAACTAATCGATAATTATCGATATAGGCAATTATCACCTTGTATAACACGCTAATATAAGGTTTTCAGCCATATTGTCGAGCACTGCTTTCTGTGTAGATGTCTCAGTAAATAAGAAATAAGACAATAATAGCTTAAGCTCGCTAACTCCTACAAACTGAATATTGATAAAGTACTTATTTCATAACAAAGACTTGTTTTAAGTGAAATAAGCTAAGTTAGTACTTTTTTCATCAATATTAATGAATTATTGACTTAAAAGAAACTCATTTATCTTGCTGAAAAGTTACTCGCTTTATAAAAAAAATACTTGGTGAGAGTTTGTGTTTTTCCATCGCAGCTATGAAACAAGCAGCCTCTCATGATGAACAGTTTCCATACTGCAGCCCCTCCGTGCTGCGTTCAGGTGCTCCACTGCACCCTTTCATCACCGCAGCATGGTGGGGTGAGGGAACGCTGCGCCGAGCTTCTGAAAGCTCTCTCCGAAGCACAAAGCCTACTTTGATTTCTGCAGTCGAATCAACGTCGTGCTCGCACATGTTATCAGAATCTGCTGACTGCGTCTCTCCCTGCGTGGCCTCGGGGAGTCTCACACTGACAGGGGGAGGGATGCGGCGAGGTTATCAGATATTGCAAACGAGGCCTGAAAGCGCAGCAAGTAACAGAATCGAGTGTTTAAGTTTTGTTTTTTTGCTTGTAACTGTTCACCTGTGTGGGAGAAAAGCCCGGATTGTTTTAGTCGGGTGACAAAATGAATGGAAAATGCTGGACTCACTTCAGTTTCGAATGAAAGAAAGGCTGTGGAAGCATTCATGTGTTAAATATGAGGAAGATTTTGATGTTACAATGCAGCCCTAATCTGTAGCTCCCACCACAGATTTTTCACAGATCAGGATCAAGTCTGGACTTTGACTGGGCCGCTCCGATATGTTCAAGCAGTGTCGTTTCCAATCAGAGAGAGAAAAACTAAATAAATAACATGGTGGTAAAATTAAAACCTAAATCTACCAGAAGACCTTCTCTTCTCTCCCTGGATCAGGATGAGCAAATTAAAGTATCTTAATCCACTCTATCAACAATAGCAGTTTGTAAAAAGAACAAAAATAAACTTTTACTCCATGTTTCCATTACTTTCTCTGTTTATTTGACCTTTAGTCCCTTATCTGATCATTTTACTGGTGATCACTGAGAGCGTCTTCCATTCTGGATCAGAGTATTCCCCGGTTCTCACTCAGCTCTCGCTAAAAACTCCACAGAGTGTTCATCTGTGGAGTCCCACTGAAGTGTGAGGTGTGTGTTCTGGATCGTTACCGTATTAGGAGGTCAGTTTCCATCCAAAGCTGACTGTTTGCTTTCCCCTCAGTTCGACTCGAGTCCGTCCGCTTCGCGTCATCTTTTACTTTCCAGCCGAAATCTTCCGGCTGATCTATCAGGAGGATCACGGGACGTAAAGGAAGAGATGACAATAAACTGTTTTGCTGATGGCAGTTTCAGATTGTTTTTTATTTATTGTCATGATCCATAAACAGGAATATTAACCGTTGAAATTAACAAAAATCCAATTAATTTAGTATTTCACATTAAAATCCCATCATTTCTATTCAAACAAATTACATACGACCAACTCAACCAAACTTGTTCAACTTATTTTAAGAACATTTTTAACAGTTTGTTTTCTTCTTCTTCTTTATCAACGCAGACGACGTAAAACGATAGTCTAACGGCTGGAAGTGTGAAACACTAACTTTGGCTCAAAGCGGCAACAACCGTGAAATTCTGTTGACATTTTAAGAGGCGCGTTTGGCAGCGGCTGAAGGTTACAGTTTAAACAATCAGTGGCCAGAAACTAAGCGAGAGACCCGGAGCAGCCGCTGCGTTCCGGCAGGCCGGCCCCGCTCAATCAAAATAGAGAAATAAATAAAAAAGAGCGACAAAATAAACGTGGGTTTAACAGACACCAGACAGCACTTGACAATATGGCATTCAATTAAAACTCAGGAAAGAAGTCAATAAATAATTTCATGGTGCTTTCTTTTTCACTTTTAAACCTGAAACCATCTATATATATATATAAATATATATTTATATATATGTATTTTTTCCCCACTGTTTTTAACAACCTGTATCAATGAATTCATTTTTTTCTTTTTTATATAAATTATGTTCACAATCTTTTTAAGTTTTATCTGTGAAAATGGGCCACGTGAATATTAAAGAAATTGCAACAACTGCCCTGCCTTGAATAATACATACAATAATATGTATTAGTAGTAAATACTTCTCGTGCTTAAGGCTGTTTCGGTGAAACAGGATCCAGGACGCTCCAACGACCCTCTCGGCTTCCTCTCACTGTCATCTGCAGGAAACACCTGGCACAGCTGGAGCGCCGCGCCGAGACGGGGCGCGATGAACGCAACCGCATCTCTGGGGAAAGTTCTGAGAATCATGTTAGGACAATATGATTTAAGAGATAATCTGCGAAAAGTTTGATCTCCTCCATCTCCCGCCCGTACTGTCACTGCCACCCGAGCGAATGGAATGGATCGCTCCCGACCAAAAACAACCAATCAGAGCCAAGGAGGCGGGTCTTGACGCTGTCGATCATCCTCATGTTTGCACCGGTCGATGTGCCAGTGGTGGACAGAGAACTCACAATTAGCCGCCGTCCACGCTAACTAGGCTTAGCATTCACGATTGACAGCGCCAAGACCCGCCTTCTGACTCTGATTGGTTCGTCTGTAGTTGGCTCGAATTTTTCAGATTTTCTGGCTCAGGCTATATCTGTCTTCCTACATATTTCCACAAATATGTAGAAAGACAGAGAGAGAAAAAGAAAGTATATTTTTATAAAAGCACAGTGCAGCTTTAAGGCCGAGATTAAGCGACTAAAGAGGCGAAAAGAATAATAGGCTAAATAATTTTTTTTTTAAGTGCAAAGAGTTCCGGTCTGAACCCGTGCGTCCCACACGGACACAATGTTCATCCGCAGATTATTGATTCGTCTTTATTTCACACTCGCACAACAACGATGCTTTGCCACGCAGCCAGGCGAGCGTGTACCTCCTCATGTCCCGTCACGCAGGCTGAGCAGCGCGTTCCAGGAGAGGAGAGCTCAGACATCCAGATGTCTCCATCCTTCACGGGCTCACTGGCGCCTGCAGACGGGCTGTCAGCGCTCTGATGCGCGGCCCGCTGCAGCCTTGACATCAAGGACGCTTTTGGAATCAGCTGCTGGAACAGAAGACAGCGCATCGTCGTCATCGTCATCATCCTCTGTGTTCGAGAGGTGGGCTTGACAGCTCCGCGCTTTCCAGAGGATAAACAAGAACACGTGTGACCGTCCGCGACGCGCTGCGAATGGGTTTCACATGTTCTCCTCAGACGGCGAGCAGCGAGGGCCGCCGTGGAAACAACGAGTCCTGAGAGCCACCGAACCCGCGGCCCGACCGGCTGCTGGGGCTCCGAATGAACCTCCAGCGCCATCTTGTGGTGGTTGTGGGTACGACACTGGCTGCGCTGGTCACCACCTGCTGCCAGACTGGTGCTAATTGAGTCGGTGTTTGTTTATGCGCATTTTGCACCAGGTCCATGAACAAAAGCATGACCAATTGGGACACAAACACAATAAATAAATAAATTTAAAAAAAAAAACAGCCAGATTATTCCTGCTAAACTGGAAATAAATATTTAAAACCAAAATTAAAATCTTAATTTAACCCCTCCCCACCCCTCCTCAAAAAAACAAAACAAAACCATACAGGCAACCAGTGCAGGGTTGCAACAGGATTTCCACCAAGCTGCAGGTTGACGTTGAAGACAGTTGTCCATACCTGCATTGAGAGAGTTGCTGAAGTAACAATAGCAAATATTACAGATTCCAATAACTGAGTTTTATCTGCTAATTGACCCAGCCCGGACTCCCACACTGTTCAAAATTAAAATGGTACAAAAAACACTCCTGAACAGGTAAAAGAACTCAAAGGGGCAGAATGCTGCTACTGCCTTGGGGCAGCAAGTCGGATTTCCCGAGAACAATCGCCTCGATGAAGTTGCAAACCATCTACAAAACGATGGAAAGATCATTTTCTTCTCCAAAGGAAAAAAATAGAAGGAGGTACATACAATGAAAAAAGTACAAGTCAGAAGACAAGAGCCTTGAGGTACTCCTGAGGAAAACTGACCCGACAATAAACGTCTGCTGGACTGTTGGGAGCAAAACCAGTGAAGAGCGACAGACTGGTCTGGGAGGGAGAACAGAACATCGGAAAGTGCAGAATCTCCAGCTCTAAGCATATTATTAAAACCTCTGGGAAATCTCACGTTTGTGCTTTGCCGCAATTTAAGTCAATAACGTTGGCAGCACTTCATCTCTAAAGACAAACGAAGCATCAGCAATAAGGGCGGTGGGGAATGTGGAGTTTATCACTTTGCAGAGATGAAATAAAACCATCCGACCCCATAAAATCCGAGCCGCTGCCAAAAACCGTGAGCGCCACCTCAAAGCGACAAAGCCAACAGGCTAAATGACAGACGACCAGCCGCACTCTCAGGCACGTCTGTCTTCAGGCCCAGACACAGACGGGATCCTCTGCATCACTTCAGACGCCTCCAGCAGACAGCAAACTGTCACACCTGGAACCACCATGCAGTCAGTCACGTCTCTCCGCAAAGTAACTGTGAGCAGCTTGTTAAAACTTTGGTTCTACAAAGTCTCTCTTGTCTGGGAAGATTTGGGTCCAACATCTTACTCTTCGTCTGTCAATTAAATGCGAAGCTCGGGCAGGCAGCTCCGAGCTGGGAGACTTTTGTGGACTTCAAGGATAAAGTGTCCAACCGTTCAAATTTAGAAAGAGTCGATTTACTGTCGCTGTAATGAATATATTTTGCTTACTTAATGACTAATAATGATCAATTTCGAGTTCAGGATTTTAAGAAACTGCACCAAAGACTGCAGAGATAATTGTGTAAAGGTGAATGATTGTCTTTTTCATGTGTTCCTGGCTATGAATTGAATTTGTCTCGTTGAGTCATAGAGGACACAATCCCTATATGAGCTCTTATTCCTCTGCTCATGTTGCTAAGGTGCTAAAGAAGCTAGAGAGGATATTCTTTACCTAGGAGGGTTTAGGAAACTCCTAGGTAAATCTTACTTTGTTTCCTTTTACAAAAAAATTTAAAGTCATGTCAATGTGCTGATACTGAGCACCTGGGACAAGAAGAGTTTGTGTATGTTTAAAAAGAAAATGGGAAAAACACGTCATTATCGATGTGAACTGAAAGAAAAACAAAAGTCATATGTTGGATTTTAATGCGAAATACTTTTGCGAGCCCAAAACATCAGAAAGAGAAAAAGTTCTTGACTTGTTCATTATTTGCCTCATCTAGACCAACATACCGCGCATTAAAACAAGTTATAGTTGGATGAAGACGTCAAGAGTTCAAGTCAAAAGTTCTTAGTGAGATGTTCCAGTCGAATCTAAAGCCATTCAGTTTGTGACTGGAGTCTGACTCGACTCAAGTCTCAGTGGTTTGAGTCCATACCCATCGTGAAAAAACTTTATTAAAGAGAGAGAGCCGGCAGAGGAGTCTTTCCAAGACTGATTTAAGATCAGAGCTGTGCAGTTGATACCAACACCCATATTAAAACACTGCAATGTTATGACCCAAATGTTTCAGACTGATCTACATAATCTAGATAATCTACATAATCAGCCAAGAGCTGCGACAAGGTAAGATCAAGGTCAAAGGATTCATCTAGTTGCTAGCTTCTTTTACAGCCAGCCGAGAACCAGGACAAGAAGGAAAGACAACGTGGCACAACAAATAACTCACAGGATGCTCAGTAGACAGACACAGGCAGTTTTAAGTCCTTTCTGTTGAGGAAACCAGGTCAGATTGGTGCCAAGGCTGATGCTAACGTTTAGTTTTGTGCTTCAGTTCCACAAGCCTGCCACTAGATGGCACCAACATGCAGTTTTGATAAAGAGAATAAGCTCTACTGATAATAATTAAACTCCCCATTTTACTATAGAAATACAGTCACGGATCAGTGGTGACTCCTGTCTGTAATAAGATCTGAACTTCTGAAATTAATAACACAAAAGAACTCTCTGGACCTGGACACATTAGTTTATAAAACTCTCCGTTGCCCTATCCACTTGAAACTTGCGTCCTGGACCAGAGGACAGAAAACATCAGGGTTCTGCTCAGTATTTAATCACTCAATCGAATTTATTTGCATAGCACATTTCTGCAGCAAGGCAGTTCGAGGTGCTGTTGTTCAGGTCCAACACACCGGAACCAAATGCCTGAATTATCTTCCCGGCATCCAAAGACGTTCTGGAGTCCTGCCAATGATCTGGTCATTTGATTTAAGAGAGTTGAAGAGAAGGAACCTTTAGGAGTTGGCGTCAGACGTTGTGGGAGCCAACATCACTACACCACCACCACCATGTGGCGTGGACCAATAACACGAAGCAGAATGGATCCACCCAGTATACAGCTCACCTTAAATTTTGCTTCTGACATGTTGTGCATTTAGAGATGGTATTCTGCATAACTTGCTTGTAGCACACGGTGATTGGAGATACTGTTGTCTTTCATTTCTCTGTCCAGCCTCCTCTGACCTTTGACCTGACCCGACAACAGCTGCTCACTGGACGTTTTCTCCTTTCTTCGGACTGTTTCCTGTAAGCCTGACGTAGATCAGCACTTTCTGAAAGACATCGTATAACACTCCCAATATGTTTGCATTCACAACCGTACAGTGGAAAAAGAATCTCCCCCCAACTCTGCATGCTGTCGCAGCAGATGGAGCTGCGTGTCTTAATTTGCTGTAAATCTGACAGACAGCTGACTGTGAAGCCTTCTGGCACTGCTTCACTAATTAAGTTTACTTTCAAACCTACGGGGTCTTCTGGGAAGAACCAACCTGTTCAAGACAGTCAGCATGACGAGCCTCGTCAGTCAGCCTTCATATCAGTAACAACTCATCAAATGTTCGGCGTCAGACCTCAGTCTGAATGATCGACGACGACAATCTACTTCTAACTCATATTTTTGGGCCACGTTAGACTAATTCCCATGTCCATATCTGACCGTGTTGAATAACCAGCTCTCTGATCAGACAGAACGGCGTCCAGAGATGTGAAACGGATGAAATGTGTCCAAACAGATCTGTTGTCGGAGCTCAGGGGGGAAATGCAGAGTCAGCTTTCAGCGAATTAAGTTTTCATCAGGGGGATCCGTGGTCTCCAGTCCCGTCACAGTGCAAAGTAAATAAGGCCCTGAAGGCTAAAGGGTTTTACATTAATGGCCCCACATAAAGAGCAACACATGGTGTAAACACTCAGAATATTTACTTACCAAAACGCAGAAGCATCGTTTGACATGCAAAATCCACCTTTAGAGAAAATGATGGAGGAAGTAGAAATCAGGTGCTGTGGATCCAGTTCTTTTGGAACTGATGATCAGGAGATTTAGCAGCTTTCAGACAGAAAGGTTAGAAATATCCTGTCCATGAGAGAAGCTGAAAAACTAGTTCCTGCATTTGCTACTTCAAAGCCAGACTACCGTAATTCTTTTCCAGGACGTCCGTAATGTGCAGCTTAAAACCTTTGGCCGATCCGAAATAATAAAACAAATAACGAAAAAGAGAGATAGTACTTCTCACATTTCAGCTCCCAGTTTTCACCCATAAGGGAGACTTGGGTTTAAAACTTTCCTTTTTGATCCAGCTGGCTCAAGTTATCCTGAGCTATTTCTGTGGTCATGCTGCTATAGGCTTATGCTTCTGGAGGACAAATGGAGAACTTCTCCTGTAAACATTTTCCTACTGCTCTCCAATCCTGCAGTTTGCTGTTATTCCACCTTTATGCTCTCTGATGGTACATTTAAGGTGGTTGTCCTGGTGCAAGGTGAAGCTCCACTACAATCTCAAGTCTTCTGCAGCCTCGAGCAGGTTTTCTTCCGGGATTGTCTGATGTTCAGCTCCGTCCATCTTAAGGTTCGGTGAGCCTCGGCTAACAGTTTGGAAGGACACAGCCTGGTCAATTTCAGATTGGTCTTCAGTTTCAGCTGCCCACCACTTCTGATGCCAACTTCCAGCAGGATAATGGACCATGTCACACAGGATAAATCTTCTCCCATCTGCTTTCATTGAGTTCAAGGTACTCCAGCAGCCTCAACCAATCGGATCTCATCCAACAGAGCACTTTTGGGATGTGGTGGAACGTCTTTGGTGTGTGGCCGACAGATGTTCTTCATATTCACTGTAACATTGTAAGTTCCCATTCTGAACAATGGAGGATTTTTAATCTCCTAGTGGTGCTTTTGGCTCTGCTCTGTGGTTGTATTCATTATGTGTCATTATGTGGCGAGTAAATAAAACTACAGCCAGAAATGCAACTTGTCATCCCGGAGCGACTTTTCAAATGTTTCAGCTCGTTTTAATAATTCATTTTCCTGACAGCGCGCAGTTTGCAGGCTGAATGGAGTCAGTTTGCAACTGTTAAGCTCTATATTTGTTGGCTCCCTCATCAGCCCGAATATGCCAAAAGCATTTTGCAGAAATTTGGATTTGCTTAGTCCCTTCATGCCTTTGATTTAACTATATTTTATTTTTTGGAGGCACACCTCTTCCGTTGCAGTACCTCACAGCCAGCAGGTGGCACTGTCATCCCACGCTATATTCCACAATAGCAGAGCATTCCAGTCAACACTGCCGTTTTCTTTTTGTGCTTAAATTTTATTTTGTGTTCTCTTCCTACCATCAGCCTCAACATCAGAGGTGGCAGCTGCAAATGAAGCGCCGACTTCCCTTGTCGCGTCGTTCGATTAAAATACGCCAGTGGACACAGTCGCTCTCGCTTCAGATCTTTAATGACATCAAATCTCCATAGAAATTCACAGTTTGCGATCGGCCGACTTCAAAGAGTCCGTACAGTCACACGCGACACTTCTGAGCCCTTTTCCTCTGTCAGGAAATTCAGTCTTTCTCCTCTGTGTGTTTGTACATCTGGATATGTTGGCCAACGCGGGGATGTGGGCTGAATCTGCATGAGCACATCCAGTCTGGCAGTGGGGAACTCTCCTGACCCTGACCCTTCTTCAGGTCAACAGTTCATGTCGAGTCTTCTCTCGAGTGAAAATCTCCGTTGGGATTTCTGTCGTGTTTTTTTTTTTTTGCTTGTTTTGTGACCCGGCTTGTCACAGAGTCACTCGGTCCACTTTCATCAGCCGATCCAGTCCTGTTTCCTGGAACGAGCTGCAAACCTCCGTCCTCTCAGACCAAGAGTGACGCAGTTATTCCAGAGTCTACCCACCATCATCTGGGGAGGTACTCCTGTGGAAGACCACTGAAGTTCCTGCTCTGAAGCGCCTGGTCAACCGTGAGAATGAAGGAGTCGATCATGCGCCTCATGTCAGGAGTGAACGGGTCAAAGGAGGGGCTCTGGGCTCCGGGACGCTTGAAGTGGCCGTCCTGGTTGCTCTGCGCGCACAGCAGCCTCTCCTCGGTAATGGAGACGTTTAGGAAAGCAGCGACCAGCCGCAGCTGGGGGAGCAGGGCTCTCTGCAGTTCCTCGTAGTGCACCACCAGGAGGCGCTGTCCAAACTTCAGCCAGCTCAGAGCGTGGGAGGCCCACCAGGGGGCGTAGCTGGAGACAAACTCTGGCCACTCTGCAGATGGAAGCAGGGAGGATAGATGGTTATTTCCTGGTAATTACTAGATTATATTTTAATGTGCCTTCATCAAAAAGATCTTCTCACATTAATGTTTAAAGACAAAGAGCTCAAAGTCTGGTGATTAGCAGAGGAAGAATTATCCTGGAGAGTGGGCAGAACTGAGTGGGTGGGTGAGTTTCAGTTTGTTTGAGGAGGCAGGAAGGAAGCAGAACACAAGCTGCTAATGCACAAAAATGCATTAATACATCAATAGCAGTCATGCTATTAAATCATCACTCCTCCTGATATCAATTTTTACTCTTTTTTTTGGGACTAAACGGTCTATAAAGATTCAGTCTAGCAGGCGGAGAATAATATGAATGTCGCACACACACACGCATACACACAAGTCATTTTGGAGGGATCAGTAAATCTAAGTCTTGTTTTTGGTCTGTGGGAGGAACTTGGAGAACATGCAGACACAGAACCTTCTTCAGGCCGTACCCCGCCTCAAACGCAATGACTGCTGAAGAGAAGAACCAGACGGATGAATGGATGAGGTGGATACTGCTGAGTCCTGTATCATTCTAATTGTTAGGCATCCTGATGCGTTCGGTTTGTGACTCTTTAGGCAACTCTGGTCAAGAAATCTATTAAAAAAGGTTCAAAACATTCTCTAGCTACAGAAGACTGTTGTGAGATTTCAAAGCGTAAACTCCAAGCACTAAGCGGACTAGAATGAGTTGTTCAGGGCTTGGTTCATAAGTTCATTTTAAAACCTGCTGATAAAAGTCCTTGAAGCATATGTTGTTTATTGTTCTATAGTTTAAGACAGACAGGAGAAAGAGAAATGGGCGAAGTCTCAAACTCATCAGTTTGGCTTTAACCGTTTTATCAGACAAATTTTGATCCGTGTTCAGTGGTTCTGAATGTCTGTGCACTTCTGAAATGTTGCTGAGGAGGACTTTTTGTTTCACACGATGAAGAAACCTCCTGTTTGAACTCTGTGAGAAGGAAAACTCCTTGACCTGCTGAGGAAAGAACCCTTGAGAGAAGATGTTTGCGTGCGACTGTGAAATCATTTCCACCGAATGACCTATTTCACCAAGATTGCGTGTGTGTGTGTGTGTATGAGTGTGTGACAGCTTGCCTCACTGTAAATAAAGGGAATGTGAGACAATAGAATCCTTCAGCAGAACCGTAAAGCACTCGACCTTGAGGAGCACCGTTACCTTTGCTGTCCCACTGCGCCTCGGTGGCGTGGCCCAGATGTCCGGCGCACTTGCGGTTGAATTCAGCTATTAGAGAGCGGTAAGGGTTTCGAATCAGCAAGATGGCAGAATCGAACATCTCGATTTCTTTCTGGCCACTTTCGTGCGTCTTCACGCAGACGCTGCGGCCGCTCTTCCAGTAATCCTTCTCCCCTTTGAAGCCTGGGACCGGAGGAGAAAATCCATCAGTTAAAATGTGGCTGAGGAACATTTCAGCTGCTCCGTTTCCCTCAGCCTCGCTCTTCCCTACCTCTGTTGTAGAGGGTGCCGTCGAAATAGAAGCTGCCGGTGTAATAGCCGGTCACAAGCTCAATCAGGTGTCGGACCCAGGTGTTGCCCGCGCCCGGAAAACTGGAGAGCGCCACCAGGGAGGAGGATCTCTGAGGCAGAAACATTCTCTCTTTGCACCTGGAGTCTGCAAGAAAACGTTATTTTCTTTTATTCGGCGAACTGTCAGGTGTGTTCCCGGCAGATGAACGTCATCGAGGAAGCTGAGAGCCCAAAATGGAGTCATTTCCAGGACAACTTAGACACAAAAGCTGGTGTGACACTAACTGCAGCGTGACTGCGAGAGCTCTGAAATGGATCCGAGTTGAGATTTCAGGAAATATGGAGAGGGAAAAGGGGCTTTCAAGTGTAATTTCCTACTCCGTCATTCACTAAGTGGCGTTCCCCAGAGAAACCAACACAGGGTTCAGACACAGTGTCACGGTATGGACTGCTTTTATCACAGGCTATTCTCCTCAGATAAAACAGAGGGTTGAGCTTTCGCTGAGCTCCGTGATTAGCAAAAAGCCCTGACGACGCAGACGGCTGGGGACAGAAAACATTCGGCTAATTATTACTCTGCAGGAACGTTTCAGCTTCTTCCTCTGCTCGCCTCCAGCCGCCCGACATGCGTGCAAGAGAGATTCTCACCGAGGACGGGAGTGTGATACACCTGGTAGTGGCCGCTCTCTGGCGGGGCCGTGGACCCGGATGTCGCCGTGCGGTTCGGGGCGCCGCTGTCGGCGCACCGCTGCTTGTCCGACTGCTGGTTGGTGTTGAAGAGAGACGACGTCCACGTGCAGAAACAGTGGGGTCGCTTCAACACAGCCAGGGGAAGCTCCTGAAAACATTCACAATTACAAATGACTTGTCAAATTTTTTAAGCTTGATGTCTGTTTGCTTTTTTCCCCCCACATTCTGTCATGTTACAGGCTTTTCTTATAATTTTGTGAGAGTGGACAAAGAATAAACAAGCATTTTAACATTTTTACATTGAAAGTTTGAAAAGCAAGGCTTGGATTTGAACTGAACCTGTCTGGAGGACCAGAGAAGCGAATCATAATCGATCAATAAATAGATGTGTAATTTATTGTCCTCAATCTGGTCACTCTGGAGGAGCAGCAGAGATCCACAGCGGAGGTCAGATGCTGAATTGTTTCGTCAAAAAATTCTTTGTGTGGCACATCACCTCAACTACTCCATCGTCACAGTGAAACATGGTGGCAGAATGAAGCTTTTGTTCAGTAGGGATGCTGGCAGCTGATTGGAGGACAGAGAGAGCTCAACACGGAATAGCAGACATGAGGCTTAGCTAGCAGCAGGGTCAGATTTATTCATTGGAATGGCCTAGTCAAAGTCACAGCTAAATCCAAAAGAACGTCTTTGGCAGCATTTGGACGCTGATATTCTCCATCTAATCAGATCGTGAGCAACGCTGCAGGGAATGATGTTTACAGCTGGTTGAGACCTAAACAGATATTTGGTCTGCAAGTAAAAAGTGAGAAACTACTTATATAAGGCAATGAATTCTCAACGCTTGTTCTCTGACTCCTTCTGTTCCAGTCGGTCTCATCTCCAATCCGCCCTTCATTTTTCCTTGTGACGTTTTCTCGCCCTTCCAGCTCCAGACGGTGAGAACTTCCAGTGCCGGCGCTCGGAGATGCTGCGGGGATCTGCTTCCCGCTCCGGTTATGCATGCCTGCACTCACACTACGCGACGAGAATTAATCACGTTGCTGTCAACAGCATGCTGCTTTTCTTCCCTTAACCCCCGCCCTCCCTTTTTTTTTCCCTCAGTTTTTCAGCAGAGCTGCAGCCGCTAAGCCTTTAGAGCAGATCTCAGAGAATTCTCATTAAAAGCACATTAAAGCTTTAATATTCAGCAGAATTCAAAGAGCCGTGTTCTCCCACATGTGATCCGGCAGCCCTCTGAGCCGGCCTCCTCTGCTCCACTGCTGGGTGCGCTAAATTAATCATCAAGCCTATCCCTCTTTCCGAGCCGGGGAGCCAACCTTGTCGGTGCACGTCTCGACGCAGGACTGAGTGGTGAGGTTGGGCTGAACGGAGTGGATGGGGAAGGCGCCGACGGTGCCGTTCGTCAGCTTGAAGCAGCCGCGGTGGTGAACGTTTCTGACTGGAGGGAAGCAGAAACACACGACAAGGAGGGGGAAGGAGGAATAAATAGCTGTGTGTACAAGTTGCTGAATGACAACAAGCTGAAATAGAAATTTTTATTCACAGGGTAATTTGTTTTTGGGTTGGGGTTTTTTTCGCTATGACGAGATTCCATGAGCAGACTTTCAGAAACAAGAAGTGGAGACTCTAATCTGTCGGCTGAATCTCTGCAGACTGTGTAACACATTCACAGCTCGGCTGCTGATCTCCGGAGAGAATGAAGCTTCCGATCGGGAATGCTAACGCTGTTTATGATTATGATTATTTACAGCAGTTGCCCTTGCCCGGGTCAGGAAGGAAGTGCATGTATTTATATTGCAAGATTAAATCATTAGGCATGAAGTAGCACACACCTCAAAGACTCTTCCCTATTTTGTTTCAATAAACCAACACAAGCCTTCATGTTTTCACCACAATTCTATCTGCATTTTGATAAAAGATTTATATTGGATGTTTTATTCTATGTCCTTTATGCTTTTTTCATACGTGAAAAGGATACAGTACCAAACAATTATGAAGAGGAAGAAAAACTACACACTCTTTAAAATGTTAAAGAAAGGCTCGATATTGATGTTTTCAGCCTTCACAGAAGAAAACCTGTTCCACGAAAATGAAAAATAAATAAATAAATCATGCACCATTCTGGTGTAAACAAAAAATGGCAGAGATGCTCCTGAGCAAATCGTCTCTACCATGAAAAATGGTGGCAGCAGCATCATGCTGTGGTGAACAGGCTAGCTCCTCAAAGATGGTGGCAGGATGGATGCTCTGCAGAAATAAAAAAACAAAAGAAAAAACAAAATCTTGCGAATTTTTTAGTTTTATTTGGTCTGGTTTCTAGTTCAAATATAGTTGGATAAAGAGAATGTCGGTTCAAAAACTTGAACCTCTGACTATTTCTGATCTTGTCCTCAGGTTGCGCCACACACACACACAGATGTCTCACTTTCAGGTTGTCGGCGTTTCTTGAACGTCGCCGTGAAACAGCAGTCTGCATTTACAATGACTGCGCTTGCAAACGTGGCTCAGAAAGAGACGGCAGCAGCTTGATGCTTTCTGCATTTGTAGCCGCAGCTGAGATGACAGCTCCCAGACGGCCGTCTCACTAATACGGAGAGCTTTCTGGAGCGTGGCTCTCCCAGGTGTGCATCAGACACATATAATGACGGTCAGAGCACTGATGGAGGGTCCTGTCACCCATCCGCCGTGGTAAAAAATAAAAAAAATGCAGGCATTTTCAGCCTCAGCGTAGGCTGGGATGTTAAGAGAAACTGATTCAAAATGTATACGTTTTCAAAGATTATGATTTTGAGCTGCAGAAGGCAGGTATGTTTTGAGCGTCCCGGCTCTTCTGCACTTGGCTCATGCAGACAGCTTTTGACCGTCCTTATCGGCTCACAGTAGCTGGAATCATCACTTGTTTTTTAAGATATTTCCCTTTTGTTACATTTCCTGCCTTCAAACTGTGGCTGACGTTATAAAATTGCTAATTATAAATAGGTACATTTACTTATGCAGATGACGGCATATAGTGAGTTAAGCCTCCACACTCTAAGACTTTTTAACACGTGTTTAAATGCCAGGTCAGATTATCGGTCTTTATGCTTGGCTGCCTGTGCAACAGTGACATAACTCAGGGAAATTAAATCAGATTTAATCCCGACAAACAAAATCATCATGACGTCAAAACCCTGTATCATGGTGCCAGCTCTGCATCAAAAACACACACATTAAAAAAAACACACACACACAGATCAATTTCTTGGCCCCACTGGTAAAGATGTCAGAAAGCCGTAAAATAAAGTCCTCCTTTACTGCAGCAGCAGCATAATGTCACACCGAGAAATAAAAACAAACATCCAACAATTAATGTAGGTACATTTACTTAGTGATGAAAAATGTAACATGTTGCTTAAAAGAATACATAACAGCATCACTGGTGGTGTGACAACTGGTAAATTTAAATGTTTAAAAGTTTAGTTCCAGGATCTACTCATCTATTTTAGCATCTTCTACTAGGACTGGAACTGTCTGCTCAGGCCCACTATGGAGCATGGTGGAGAACCTGTGATACTGTGGGTTTGATGCTCCTTCAAATGCAAGAACTGCTGAAGAACTGGAAATTGGTAATCACGGAGTAGAACAACAGAAAAAAATATGGCCAAATCAGAAAAGGTTTGCAGATTCAGTTCTGGTTTGTGTGAATTATGGGCTCAGGAGGAAATCATTTCTCAAACATGCATGAAAAATATATATTTTAAACTAAGCCATTTGAAATATGAGGATTGCAGTATGTAAATAAGACTCAATAGACATAAATAAAGCAATAAAACCAAATTTTGTCCTGTGCATGTCTGAGGAATTTCTAGCCAACAGAATTTCTCAGACCAGATGTGCTACGTTTGTTTTCATGTCAGCAGCTTGCATCCCTTCCAATAGCTTCAGAATGGAGCTGGTCCTGTCATTGCTCCTCTCAACCATCTTAAGAGCAGAGCGCTGTGCTCCCTGAGGGGAGCTGACTCACATTTTCTGTGACCTGGCAGCTGCTCCTCCACCTTGTAAATGGAGAGTCGGCCCACGCCGCCACAGGGAGACCCCCTCTCGCCCCGGCACACCAAACTGCAGTCCTCCTCCGGAGCCTGCGGGCTGCTGATCCGGTTCCCACAGTGACATTCAGCACCGTATTCCAGGCCTGCAAACTGGTATCCACTAACCACACACACAGACATGGAAGCACAGTTATTTCCCTAGCCGAAGGCATTTCAGAATCTCAGACTTTTCCCCTCAGGCTAAGTCATCCCGCAGGAGAACATTAGGTAAGATTTCACACTTATCATTTAATTCAGACGTCCCTGTGATAAATATATCATGTCCCCTGAGATGGTCATCTGTGTTTCTGCTCATGTTCTCGTCTGACTGCGTAATGTCCTCTTCTGCATGAGCTGCAGTCACCTCTGATCTGCGGCCCGTGACTCATCCTCCTTGGTCTACTTGGTCTACTTTTGTCCTTCCTCTTTGTGAAAGCACAGCCCTCATGAAAACTGACCTTTTCATCTGCTTTCTTTAAAGCTTCCTCATAAATTGCCTTGCCATTTTTCTTTTTACTTTAGTTCATCTCTCTAATTGGCCCGCTCAGGTACAGACAGCCTGACCGCTCCCTTCGCGAACTCCGGGTTGGTTGGCCAGGAACGTGACCACCGATTTTAAGGGAGTTTTGACACCTGATAATCGGGTAAGACTGATTACATTTGTTCAGCTGGTGCAGTTTACAACCAGGGCCTCAGAAATAACCTGCTCGCCTCCTCACATGTGGTGGCGCTGCACCCAGAGCCACTGAAGTAAACGACACAAAACCCTCTGAAGAAGACACCGAGCGCAGCTTCCTTTTTCAAATGCAAACAAAAATGGCGGCGGCTGTTAGCGGCTCTTGTGTCTTTGGTCAAATGTCATAAGCCACTTCTCCCAAAAGCGCCAGACTCTTGTTTTTGTTTTGGTTGTATTTACCCAGAATGCCCTGCTCTATAGTCCGCTTTCCTGCTTTTTGCTGTGATTTAGAAAAATAATGCTAATTCAGAAAGGTCATTCCTCGACTTTACCCTTGAAGGTGGCTCCAGGTTTGTTAGGTCATGAGGCGCCAAGCGCGCTAAACCCTTTTTCCCGCGGCTCATTTTCAAAGTAGCATAGCTTCAGAAAATCCACTTCTCAAGACCAATATGTTCTCTCTAACCGCAGCGTTCGGCTCATCAGGCTTCCCACAGTAACAGACCGAGCCACCGGCCCAACATCCCGAACCCCTCTCGTTTTTTTCTTTATTTTAATTCCCCCAGACACCTGGCTGGAGACACAGGGGCCATTCATGGTGGAGACAGGGATCTTAAAGCTTTCCTCACACAACGGGCCCTCTGTGGGCCCCTTCACAGGGATTACCTTTCCGAGCAGGTGTCCTGACACAGGGAGCTGGTCATTTTGCGCAAGTCATAAAGCATGGTTCCGCCCAGGGCTCGATCGCTGGCGTTATGCAGGAAGCAGCCCATGTAGGTTCCTGCGTGGGTCAAAAATAAAAGCAAACAAAGCTCAGTCAGTCTATTATAATCAGAAGGAATATACTCTGACTATAAGTCAGAGTATATTGTTTTTTTTGTTCTTGTTTTTTTTACTTCATTTTTATCTGGTTCTCTGCACATCCTCACAACTAAAGCCTGAATTCAACATGCGATGGAATCTAATAGCCGCTATGAAGTACAGAAATGCTCCTGCAACAACTGGCAGAGCTGAACTGAGTTGAGTTGAAATAAGCTAAAGTAATTTGTAGATTTGTTCCCAGATGTTCTGGTTCTCAAACCATAAAATGACCGCAGAGCTGACCCGTGAATCCAAATGACGGTTGATGACACAAGCAATTATTTCAGCTCAGTTACATGAAAAGTGTAAAATGTTAATACAGAAATTATCAGCACTGTAAACACAGGATAAAATGATTAGAAATGCATTCAAAACTTTTCTATATATAATTCAATTATAATCCATCATATTTACTTTAATTTAAAAAAATTACTTTCAAATCCAAGTGTGTTCAAAGACTCGGTGGATGTTGATGCTGTGGAAAGAAGGATCTCCACTAGCAGTCAGTCTTACAACGAATCTGAAGACACCTCTGACTCTTGCAGAGGCCACAAAGATGTCATGACAGCTTTGTGACTGCCATGACATGCTAAGAGCAGAGATGATATTTCACAGGAGCACATCCTGCATGACATCATCAGTTGTAGCTAGAGACCCATTTGTTTTTGCTGCTCCTCTTTGTATCGCTCTCTTCTTCCTTTGCTTTGCTCACATTCAAGATATGGTGATTTTTTTTTTCCTGCTCCAATTGGTCCACCATCTCTCTCTGTAGCCTCTGGTAACTGTGAAGTCAACCGGAGTCAGCATTCAGTTCATGTTTATGTCTTTTCATTTGAGGGTAATCTTATTCCATTTAACGGAAGACGGATGAGAACCTGAGAAGACTTAATGGTGAAAACGAGTGAGACTTCACCTTTTCATTTCTTTTTTCCAGCTGTGTTGGAAAGTGGTTTAACTCTCAATGCTTTGACTGCTCAGCAATGCCCCCTGCTGATCAAAAGCCAAAGGCAGCAGGTTGCTCAATAAATGGGTTAGTGGTACTCTCTTGCTGCATGTGTTGCTTAGCGAGGAGCTGAAATAACACACACACACCTGAGGATTTCAGTGTATTTTAAGCGTGTGTGTGACTGAAGGGAGACATGGACTGAAGGAGCATTGATTAGGAAGCATCTCTCCTCTGCTTTCACTCATTACAGGATTTATCTTTAGATCAAATGTGCTGTACCATGAGCTCAAAACCTTTACTTAAATGATGTGTATGTTTTTTTCCACTAGCTTGCTAAAATAAGGCAACGTCGCTTTAAAGTTAAACATATTTTCATGAGCAATCATGTACATGATGGCTTCTGTGCATTTTCAGGGCTGTTGCTGGAAACTAATAATGCAGAAGTTTAGAAACACGGAAAATTGTTTAGTTTGCTCATTACTGAGACTCTACTAGAGCAAACTGACACAGAGCCAGTGCAATTTAACAAGCTTAATATGGGCATGCTGAGTAAATAGAACCTAAATATAATGTGTGTAAACCCAGATGAACCAGTACTGAGTTTCTATTTGAAGCAATAATAGTTACATTATTTCTCATTTTAAAATGATCTCTTTGCTCTTGTTCAGAGCTTCAGCTCAAGTCTTCCACCACCAATGTAATATTCACTGTTACCTTGATGCACATCAGAATCTTCCAGAATGTTTTCAGAGAGAGCGGTATCCTGGACTTGATCCATTGGCAACCCAATCATTCAAGGATGGATGGCTGTGTTGGAGTTCATCCATGTTTGTCTCTGTGCGCCACCCATATCCATTAACCATGTTTATGTGTGACTGCCGCCAGTCATTCGTTAACAAACTGAACCTGATTAAGCTGCCCTTTAGCTAAACTCGCGCTGCAATCTTTGCCTCCCTTGGTTGCATCCATAAGGTGACTGTAACTGTATCTCTTCCATACATGTATGACTTGTAACATTAGATCATTTTTGGCATTAAAGCCTGTTTTTACATTACCAAATCTCATCATTTCTCAGGGTAAGAACACTCAGGGGTTCTGGTCGGGTCCTCAAACTGGTTAAATTACATTTTTCCTCCACCAGCCACAGTGGCTGGGAGAGAAATATTTTTACCAGCCACTGATTGTTTCTTTTGATTACAAACCCCACCTGTACAAGCAAATTACATAAAATATACTATTTACTCTTAACTCTTTGAAAACCGATTTACTGACAATAAGTTTACCTTACAAATATGCCGACTAATTTAACATAATAAAGCAGGAACACCTTAACAGAGGTGTAAAGCAATGAGTTCATTTGAAGTAATGACTAACAGCATATTTAACTACACAGCCCTAAAATTATTGCAGCCATTTTTTTGTTGAACATTTAGGCTACATTCTCCCAGATAGTATCAAGATGTGTCTAGTAATTTATTAAACATTTTTAAATGGTTTCAATTGCTGTTTTCTAACTATTTGTTATCCCTTACTTATTACGTTTTCTATAGACATTCACAATTCTTATTTTTACTCAAAACATCTTAGAAGGTGTTCAATATTAATTACAAGGCCGTCATTATTTCCGTGTTGTCCCAGTGTTTCTGCCTGCTAGCTTAGCGTTAGCTTTCCCCACTCACCCACACCTGCCCTCCTGCCACTTCGTGAACATTTTCACTCCTTCTCTGCTCCAGCGGTCAAACATTGTGTGGTAAACTTATCAGTTAGTTTGACTATTTTTTTCCGAATTGACTTATGCGCTTTTTTTAGCTTTTGTTATTGTAGTTTTTGTTTGCTCGGACTCCGGTTAGCAGCAGCCGTTAGCTGAAATAACGCCATTTATAACCTTAGAGGAGAGGGGCGGGCCAAGGAGAACTGAGAATTTCATTGGATAAGCCCACTGTCCGTCAATAACATCAACCAATGGCCTGTCGCGGTCGATAAAAATTGTATATCATGTACTTTTTTTAAAAATTATGACAGCATAGGGCCGCCCCATGTACTGTATATGCTGGTCTACATCCCAGACTGTCAGCCCTCCTCTGGGCAGAAGTTCAAACTGGAACTTTTTTTGTCAACCCGCCACAGTAGCGCTACTTCATACTTTTACCCGCATTTGGCCAGTGGCGGCTGCTAATTCCACCCCTGGTTACATCAGCTGCAGCACGTGATGTAAGCAGATAAAAAAAGGATAAAAGAGATAAGAGGAAAACACAGACTGGCTGGATGAGGAGCCTTGTTGCCACATCACATGAGCACAGCATGTGACTATGGCTCTGGTCTCTGCTCTTGCTGAAGGCGGAGTTTCAGAAAGAGCAGTAGCTTCTTAAAGAGAGGCCCAATTTCAAGGCGTCTTGATATACAGCTCTGGAAGAAATGAAGAGCCCACGGCACTGAACCCCAGCAAATATTGATTTTTGAATTCTTCCTGAGTTAAAAACATTAGTATTGTTGTTTCTAAATGAACATTAACTTGTTTTTTCTTTGCTTTATTTTAGGTCTGGAAGGATTGCTCCTATTTTTTATTTTGACCATTTCTCAGTTCCTGTAAATAAATACTAAATGTTTGCTTGGAATTTCATTGACATGTCGGTTGTTCACAGCATAAAAGAACAATGTTCATTTTACTCAAACATAAACATTTAAAAAGTAAAATAAGAAAAACTGATAACTTTCAGTGGTTTGTTATTTTGTTTGCCAGAGTTACACATACATTTTTGTACCAACTGAAGGCAACAGAGTTTGTTGACTGCGCTATAAAATGTTTCAATCCTAGACCCCTGAGTTAAGAGTCGAGCCCCTATGTCTGACACACACCCTGAAATACACAGTTAGCTGCACTGCAGAGCTGCGAGGCCGAAGCAGCCTTTGTGTTTCCACTCAATCATAATAACTGCCCAGCATGTACTGTCAGCCCCAATACTGGCATTATCTGTGTCTTGTATGACTGACAAGAGGTAATCATCCTCCCAGTATTCCAGTTATTCTTAATTCTAATTATTTCGACGCTGCACACTTTTCCTGGCTGCCCATGCGGAAAGAAAGAAGCAACAAATAATGTTCTTTGTCAGGCTAATACGATGCGCTGACAAGATTAAGGCAACGTATAAAACGTCGCCTGAATTTGGTCTTTGATGTTATCTTTGCTGCATCATCCGCCACTTGCCTGACACATAAAAGCACTCTTTGGAAAAAAGAAAAATCAGCTCCTGTCACCAGAGCAGCATATGCATTGCTTTTGTCTTCAGACTTCAATTACATTTTTCCCCTAGGACTACAACTGGTATATTTTTAAGTTCTGTGCTAAAAGTTATTTCACAAACCTGATATTCTGAAGGGATTTGTATTGAGTTTCTGTTGCGTAGAGTGCATGGAGACATACCCTCCAGGTGAGTTCTTTGCTTTAAATTACAATTTCTGGATGTAGCTTGCAGAGAACAACAGCTTGCAGGTTTCAGTGGAACTGAGACTTCCTGATGACGTTTTCTTCCAGTACAGACCAGAATGTCACTGAATGCTTGAAGGTGGATTTAAAGGGCAAAATTTGATAAAAATTGTCTTTTTTCAACTTTGTATCATGTTATAATGTTATTCTCTCAAAGCAACATACTTGGATCTTCGCCTTGATTCTGTCATGAATGACTGAGAAATCCTTTAATCGTCTGTGGCAACCATTCAGCTGTGGAAAACACCTGGATGGACCAAGCACTGCCTTCGACTCCCCCACTCAACTCCTTCAGACTGGCCAGAAGCAATTAGCAAACACTTGCTACTTCTCAGTTGCTACGTTGTTAAAGGGTAAATAGAGAAGCGATGTTATGATGACTTCCTGAAGGCGGAGATTCAGAAAGAGACAAAGGCCCAATTTCAAGGCGTTAAATTACAAAATCAAATTTCTTTTAAGTCACATTTGATATATACAGCATTTTTATAAC